TCATTTGTTTGATGGTGTGCGCAAGGCGGTGGTGGGCAGTTTGTTTGGTTTCCTCAAGACATTCTACTCTCTCTCTGAACAAGGTGAATGGGTTGCTGGTTTGCCTGTCAACTATCCTGTGTCTGAAAATGTTGCCAACATGACATCCATCGTGATCCCTACCATTTTGATGATGTGGAAGGATGAAGATGATCGTATGGTGGTTGTACAAATCTGTCAAGAACTGATTCAGTCCCTTAAACTGATGGGTCCATCAATCATTGCTGAACGTAAGTAAAAAAAGAAAAAAAAAGAAAAGAAAACTCGACTAACAAGTGTTTATCATTATATAGATGTGGAAGACATCTCTCGATATGTATTGGATATCTTTGAAAAGAAGTCAGTGTGCCAACAAGCTTTTGATGATGAAGATCTCGTTGATGAAGACGAAGAAGCGGAATCCGAATCTCTTTTGGTTGGTGCTGCTGCTGATTTGGTGGCTGCTCTCTGTGAAGTGATTGGTGAAGGTTACTCATCTTACTTTGATGTGTTCTTGCCTTTGATCTCTAAATACTATGTAAGTAAAATAATGAGAAAGGAAAAAAGGTATGATGGACTTGAACTGATTGTTATGTATTTTATATATATATATATTATAGAAAAAGACCAAGGCTTCATCAGAAAGATCCATGGCCATTGGTTGCTTGGGCGAATGTATCACTGGTGTCAAGACTGCCGTCACTCCTCACACTGAACGTCTTTTGCAATTGTTTACCAAGGCTTGTGATGATGAAGATCAAACAGTGAAGAGCAATGCTGCCTATGCTTTGGGAATGCTTGTCACTCACTCTCAAATTGATCTTAGCTCGTAAGTGATCATAAAGATTAGGAAATCGGGATTATGCTGACCTTCTTTTATATACTATATATATATAGACAATACCCTACCATCTTGGCTTCACTCCACCCATTGTTCCAAAATCAAACTTTGGTGAACGTGACCGATAATGCTACTGGTGCTGTTGCTCGATTGATCCTTGCTCACCCTGATGCCATGCCTCTCGATCAAGTCTTACCTGTCTTTACTGGTGCTCTTCCATTGAAGGCTGATTATGCTGAAAACGAACCTGTCTTCAACTGTATCATTCAATTGTTCCACTCTAACAATGCCTTTGTAAGTACATGTTGTTGGGGGGTATTATTCTTTGTGATATCATTACTCACTCTTCTTTTCATAGGTCCTCGGTCATATTCCTCAATTCCTTCAAGTATTTGCCCATGTATTATCGGATGAAGCACAATTATCGGAAACTACTCGGGGACGATTGATCGAATTAGTGCGCGCTATGCATGCTCAATCCCCTGACTTGAATATTGCTGCCAGCGATTTGGGTCGATTCTTACTATAGAACTTTTTTATATTCTTCATCCCCTTCCCCCCCCCCTCTCCCCTCCCATTACTTTATATAGCCCTGTAGTTGTAGTCGTAGTCATACTTATAGATGTAGATAGCAGTAGATGATCTATTCACCTTCTACCCTTTTTGTCTTGTGTTTTATTTTTATTCTTTTATCATTCTACCACATTCCATTATAATAAAATAGAAACCAATCTTCTCTGTATCTCAAATATTCATGCACCATGAACAAAAAATGAAATCGCTGGATTTTCGGGATTTGAAATTTAGTTCTCGTCGACACAGCGCTAAATCAAACCCCTTCCTTTGACTTTTATAAATTTCCCTGTTGGGTTTCTTTTCTTCTTTTTCTTCTTTGTCTTTATAAATTTATCTTAATACATTATACTCAACAACATGGTCTCAGCTCTTGTCTTTCTCGCCAATGGCACCGAAGAAATGGAATTCACTATCGTCGGTAAGTCAAAAAGAAAAGAAAAGAAAACTCAAGCATGTCAAACGTACTCATACTATTTTTTCTTTATTGTAGTGGATGTTCTTCGTCGCGCAAATATTGAAGTGACAGTGGCAGGTATCGATCTAAATGGTGGACATGCCGTTTGTAGCCGTGGTTTAAAGGTCGTGCCAGATATTCCCTTTGAAAACATTCAAGAAAACGATTGGGTAAGAACATTTTAAGAGTTTGAACAAAACAAGGACTAATGATACTTCTTTAATTGTAGACAAAATACGATGCGGCAGTTGTTCCTGATGGTTTGAAAGGTGCTGAAACATGTCGGGATCATCCTCGAGTACAACAATTGTTAAAACAGCTTGACAAGGAAAACAAGTGGGTGGCCTTTATTTGTGCAGGTAAGTCGGCTCTCTCCCATCTTGATAAAATGACACTCACTTTTTTTTTTTTTTTCTTCTTTAGGTACTATTGCAGCTAAAGCTGCTGGTATTGGTAAAGGACGCTCTGCTACCTCCTACCCAGCCTTCAAAGAAGAGCTTGCTGACTGTAAGTAATAATAATAAACGTCGACAAGTATCATGAATCTCACCTTCTTTGTTTATGTATTGGATGCGTTTATTAGTCTACAACTATTCTGAAGACCGTGTGGTGACGGATGGCAATCTAGTGACAAGTCGTGGACCCGGTACAAGCTTTTTGTTTGCTTTGACCTTGGTCTCTAGGCTGGTCTCAGTAGAGGTAAGATTTATATGATCGTCATAACATATGCGATCGGAACTAACTTTGCTTTTTTCTTTTATGGTGATAGATGTCCTCCCACTTGAAAAAGGAGATGTTGACAACGGCTGAATTGTAGGACAGTGGTCTTTAGTTTAGTTTAGTTTAGTTTAGTTTAGTTTAGTTGACTCTATTTAATAAAACCGATTCTTTGATGCGTGATTCAACGTGACAAGGATACATACATACCTCCTTGAAACAGATTTAAACTTGGCTTGATCACCCAACTGGATTGCTTTTACATTTATTATGCAAATCGGTATAGTCAGTCTTTTAAAACTGTGTATGCCGGGGTTTGAAATACAAACAAAGCTGCATAGAAAAGAAAAAAAGGGGGAAGGGGCGCGAGTCTAAAAAATAAAAAAGTACTATATTTTTTTAATTTTTGATTCCTCCTTGTCTTTTTACTTTTCTTTTGTCCTTTTTTTTTTTTTTTTTACAATCTGCCATGAATTCAGATGCATCTGGTACAGTTGTAGGTTTCTCTGACCCACCTAATGTACCGGAAACCGCACTCTTCTCCTTTAATCCTCTTGTTTATCTCTATTTTATGCTCTCCTTCTTCTTTGTCCCCTACCCACTTTATCGGTTTATTGCTCATCGAAACAATTGGGAACTGAATACTAAAACTTGGGCTCGTCATTGGAGCGATACGATGTTTGGATGTAGTTATGGGGTGATACTCTTTGTCTTTGGTAATTACTCACATTGCTTCAGCTGGATTACTGTCGTGGCCTTTTATCCTTCATTATTTGGTTATGGTTGGATCGCCGAACTTCCTTTTACCAAGACTTCATTGCCTAATATTCGTAATTGGCCCATGGGCATGTGGGTTGTCTTCTTGACAGCTTTAGGGTAAAATCATCATCATTCATCATCTCTCTTTCAGTTTTCTCAACTCATTCATTTTATATATTATAGAATCATATTGGCTTTTGCTGCCTTTCACATATACCTTGCATCTACCTTGACTCTTCCTTTTGTGGCTTACTACGTATGTGGGTTGCTGATCCCTCTCTTCTTTATGGTACTGGCTATTTTATTGATCAAGGAAGTGAATAACAATTGGATACGGACAAAATATCACCAGTGGGCTCTCACTCGATATCAAAAGCGCCATCCACAACCACCTGCGCATCAAGATGAAAAAACACAACAAGAAGGTGATGGTCCAGCACTTTCTTCACACGGTGATACAAACCCTTCGACCCCTGATCTCGAATCCAATCAGCCGATTCTCAAGAATCCTTATACCTCGCGTATCTCTCTCCATCTACACCATTGGCAAATATTCTACATGTTGGCTTTTTTCACCAGGTAAACTGATATAGTGTGCAAAAAAAGAAGAAGACTCTTTACTAAAAATAATACTTACGGTAGGTTTACTCATCCGGTGTCACAAGTGGCCGCTGGGATCGTCTTGGCTTGTTACATGGAAGGAATCTGTGCTTGTAAGTTGATCAAATATATAGGTATCATACAAGGATTAACTTCCCTCTCTTTTTTTTTTTTTTTTTTTTTTTTTCTCATCCTCTACAGATGGCTACGATTATCTTGTCAATGATGACTAATTTGTTGTTTGTGAATGGTTGTTGGTTGCTGTCCTTCATGTTTGTTGATCTTTTCATACCTTATACTATTTATCGTAAACTAATCAAATAATTAATAAAAACCTATTATACTACGTTTACTTGCATTTGATTTGATCGATACAGTGCATTTTTCGTATCTTGACTACTATTTGGCATGGTACATGGACATAACGTTTGTAGCACTCTCCCTTTGCCCTCATACACACATAAATGTTTTTAACTACTATTACAATGCGAAGGCGGAGTCTAGACGAAATCAGACTTTAAGCACTTTAGATTCTTTTGAATTCTTTATCTCAATTATCATGTCTCAATCATCACTATTCAAGCATCATGCCTCAATCATCATGCCAAACCTTATATTTTATTTAGTGTAAATACTCTTTCTCCCCACCACAATATTTTTTAGTTTTATAAATACAAGTTTCTCAATCAATAAAAAATTAGTACAAAACCAATCTCAAGAAGTCTTATTATAAACTATCTATCTTTTATACAGTTACTTTATCTTTTGTGGTTTTTCTGTTATACAAGATCCATTTTTACCTTATTTCAAATCCCGATTTCCATTTTGGGATTCTCTTTTTTTTTCTCTCTCTCTTTTTAACAAGTACATTCGAAAGGTTGAATCTAAACCAAAAAAATTCTGGTGCTCACTACTTTAATACATACAAAACATACTTTTTGAACCTAAGATACTCTAGCATCTACCAGATTTAGCCGTATCAAAAGGATACGACTCACTTTCACACTCCGAAAAACGAGAGGTAAAAGCAAAAAATGCCCCGAGCGTGGATCGAACACGCGACCTTTAGAACTTCAGTCTAACGCTCTCCCAGCTGAGCTATCAAGGCTTATATATTTCCAAAATTGGTATGTAATATATAAAGCACTAAAGCGGAGTTTAAAACATAAAACATTTTTTAAAGCTTCCTAGCTCTTCCTTTTCCTGTGTAATTGTTGAGAAAAAAGAACTGTACTGTTGGTATTGATTTGTTTTTAATTTTGGCGGATAGGTGTAATCCATTGCCACAAAAATTGAAGGAAGACCGAGAAGACAAATCGACCAAACGGGATTTGAAAATCCGCAACGATGAATTTTTAGAGGGTCAAAACGGGTTTCTTTTTTTTTTTTTTTTTTTTTTTTTTTTCTTTTTTCTGCCTTATGACACCAAATGGTTTAATTCAATAATATATGCTACATCAACTGCTTACCATCTTTTATACTCTGAACTATCAGGAAATGAACTCTGTCCTACTTGGCGAATGTTGGTAAGTTTGAACAATAATGAAACGAAACTTTGGACTTTAGTTAAAATTACATTATAGTGGCATAATGCCTTTTTTTGTTTTATTTTATTCTTCATTCGACTTTATCAATCAGTGACTAACACAGTTTATTTTGTGACCATGATACGATACCTGTTTACCAACTTCGATAACGATCTGGGCACCAACCATCAACAATCTACAACACAAACAATAGTTTTTACAACATCACTAATACGTAAAATAGTACCTTGTCGTCAGTATATTTGAATACTTTTGCCATGAAGCATTGTCTCTTGGGAATCGGACAACTTTACTTATGAAAGCCAACAACCAAGAACGAACGAGTGGGTGGATGATCGAGTTGAACAACAAAATGAATTCTCCAGTTGATTCTTTAGCTTGGTGGTAGCAGCGTCGAAAAAGGAACTTACTGGGAATAGGATGGATCTACTTTGTCGAACTACACCTTTTGCCTTGGGGGTATATCACCTACCCATTTATACAAATAGCATTTTAATGTAGTTGACTTTTTATTTTTAATTTTTTTTAATTTTTTTTTTTTATTTAATAAAAACCAGACTTGTTATATGTAATAATGTGATCTTTAGGTTTCCAATACCTGACCATCATACTGTCAGCACATATTTTCATGCGAAGACTTTTGTACTTGTCTTTGTTGTGGTTTATATTTATCCATCGCCGTTTGAAGGTTATCCAATAACTAGACGATTTGGGCCCGCATCATCATCATACATATAGTACTTGGTTCATGATGCCCCTGAATCCACCACGCCTGATTCTTGTAAAAAAAAAAAAAAGTTCAGTGGGGTGTAGGATAGTTGTGGATTGCTAAGCGCACGGAAAATGCGCACGGGATTTTAGAAGAGCACTACTCGCTCAATTATTAACGGATGCTAATGATTAAAGTGGCGATATGGATACTATGATATATTTCCAACATACTTTACCGCAAAAGCCAAGCCCCACGACCCTTGTATCGGTCAGTCCAAGCTTGCGATGTCTTTTATCTGTCATTTGTAAGAAGAAGAAGACGAAGAGGGACTTCGTTTTCAAAACCCGCCCGCCCTTAAGATTTGGAAAGGGCTGTACTCGCTCCAATTGTCAACGGATGCTAATGATTAAAGTAGCGATGTGGATACTATAGCGTATTTCCGACTTGAGTCACTGCAAAAACCAAGTTCGAAGACCCTCGTGTCGGTATGTTCAGACATGCGATGACTTTTACCTGTCCTTTGTAAGAAAAAAAAAAAAAGAGTATGGAGGAACCAGATTTCATTTTCAGATCCCGCCTGCCTCTACTAAAATTTGGAAAGGGCTCTACTCCCTCAATTGTCAATGGATGCTAATGATTAAAGTGACGATGTGGATACTATGGTATATTTCTAACATGAGTCACCGCAAAGGCCAAGCTCCAAGACCTTTGTGTTAGTCTGTCCAGGCCTGCGATGACTTTTACCTTTCCTTTGCGACGAAGATTATTTTATTTTTTCTAGTCGAAAGGAAACCAGTTTCAAATGCCGAATACCAAAGTTCCGTGCGCCTAGCAATTCCTGGGCAGTTTGCTCAAGAGACCCCAGATCGTCGCCGATTCCCGGGGTTTGAATTTCGTAGAAAGTTGCACAACTTCTTTTTGATCAGAGAATTACAAATGGTTGTTCTTTTTATTATAAAAGTATAATAACATAACATATTATATCAATAAAAGCTAATGTCTTAATGTGGGTTCCAAGGGGAAATGTTCCTCTCTTTCGTTCACGTACAGCTTGTTCCAAAGTTCTTTCAAAGGCCCAGGTGTCTCCCAAGCGTTTTCAGGACGGAGCCAAAGTCTCAAAAGATGGCGCCTGTCAAGGAAAGGAAAAAAAAAAAAAAAAAAAAAAAAAAAAAAAAAAAAAAAAAAAACGTAAGTCTGTGATTTCATGCGGTTCGTCTTAATCTGTACCTGTTTTTCTCGCTATCGGTGTATCCATTTCTGGCATGGAAAATGGAAGTGTTGCTGATGTATTGAATGTCCCCCTTTTTAAAGTTAACACTAAGACTGTATTTCTCGGCAGTGTAATGAAGATAATCCAGGGCTTCCGCTTGAGCTTCAGTGATAGGTGGGAGGTCATCTCTAGCGACGAAAAAAAAAAAAGTAGATGTTTATTCAAGTGATAAATCTTGTTATTGATGGTATTTACCTTCTTGGATTTTTACCGAATCCAGTAAAATTACGTCGAGCATATTGAATGATCAAATGGTTTTGATGATAGTACAAAAGAGGACGAGTGAAGGAGCCATACTCGGTGTAATCACTATAATCATACCACAGAAAAACAACTAGTCAATGAAACCCCAGCAAATGACTCGTCTGTTACCTTTGGAAAACCCAATCAGAAGCCAATGTTTCAATCAAGTCAGGCCGTTCTTTAGCAATTTCGTTATAGACAGTCCAGCTCGATGCGATCTTTGATTCCCCGCCTTGTTCTGCAACTCCCACAGCAAAAAGAGAAATGATATCGCCAGCATCAGTATGGAAAACTTGATGATCATTTGTATAAGCAGGAGCCAATATTTCTTCCAAGTGACGTTCTTTACTAGTAACTAAATCAGTGATATGGGCTATGATCAAAAAGTATAAGAAAAGAAAGGAAATGAGTATCGGAATTTGAAAATGCATGAATTTTTTTTCTCATGGATTTTTTTTTACCTAGTACATGCTTGCCCTGTAAACCACGTTTACCCACATAAGATGAAATACCAACATAGGCAATGACTTGTTGTAACCTAGTATAACGATCAGGGTCAATACCGCGCACCACCAAGAAACCGCGACCTTCGATCACATCTTCTTCAATCAATTGCTTCAGTTTGGGACCCAAGGTAGGCAAATTAAACGTGGTATCTTTTTCAATCGCCGACAAGGGTTTTTCAGAGTTTTCAAAATCAAGGACGGCTTGATGGACTTCTTCGATCTCTTGAGAATTCAATTGATAGACCCATTTTTCTTCTTGACCTTCATAATCTTCACCTTTCCAGATCTTGGGACCTTCCAATTGATCAGGGAAACCTTCAGGGAGTTCCTTGGTTAGGTCTTCTTCGGCCAAGCGGCGAGCCGTGCGTTCTTGCCAGTTCTTTCGATCAGGCAAATAGGTGATATTGGGTTGAGTCTTGTTTAATACTTGTACAGTAGGCATAGTTAATCGTAAAAAAATAATGTTAGGAAATAAAAAAGAAAAAGTAACTTGGGTTTTATAGTCGATCTCAATCAGCATGAATAATCTGTGTGTGTGTGAAAAGCTAAAATTGAATCGCCGACAGTTAACCTATCATCTATTTGTGTGTGATGTTGTTAGAATACTTGGTAATGGTGACATTTCTTTGTTGACTGTCACCATTTAACTTGCAATGTCGATAACAACAAAAAAAAAAAAGCTTAATGATGGTTTTCTTGTTTTGTGATACAATTGGTCTCATGCAACCAAGAAGAGCGGGATTTCAATTTTGATACTTTTTCTTCTCTCAAGTCGAGCATAATTAAAAATCGTTATCGAGGGTGCATATTTCCCCCCCCCCAAAAAAAAGCAGAATAATAGTGATATGATTGGATTATTATGTCTGTTAGAAATGCAGGCAAAGCCCAGTATCATCACAGAGGCATCGCTCTTTTCTTGTTCTGATAGTAATAAAGCTGGGCAAAGGATGCGTCCACTATTATCACTGTAATCAAAACTCAAACATCTTACAAAGCATCCAAGTCTTTTTTAGATTGCTATTGAATATCATGCCATTTGACAAGAGAATGAAACTACATTTTCAACTATGGCGAAATAGCTGAGTTTAGCCATCTGATTTTAAGAAAATGTGAATCCCGATTTTATTTCAAATTCCGTCCAGCGTTGTGCAAAATCATCATGTGGGAAGGGGTAAATCATTTTCCCTCTTTCTTTCCACTGCTCCTCCTGTGCATCCCAACTGATCTTCTCTGGTCCATTCACATTAGTTGCAATGAATACCATCGGCATGACCAAAGGGCGGGACAAAAGGTAAATTGAACAAAGGGTTTTAAACAATCTATCAAACAATACTAACTGGAATACTTTTTCAAGGTAACAATTGTGTTAATGACGATGGCAATTCGAAAAAAAAATAAACACTTCAGCTTGGCTTCTCTCTTGAGTAAAGTCAAAAAAAAGACTGAAAAGGGAGGTTTTGATATCATCACCGATCAAGGTAAGCTAGGCGATACTTTACAAACTCCTTTTTTTATTGAACATACGTATTCTTTTTAATTTAATAGGATAGTGATGCAATACCGGTTTTGGGATGAATGGAAATCAGAAGCCTTATCAGTCAAGACTATCAATCGAAAGGTAGGTTTTTTGGTGGTCTATTTACGATTTGTCTGCTATAGGTTTGTCAAATCAACCGACACATTTGGATTCATGACGATTATTTTTGACTTCGCTATATAACAAGGCATGATGGTAAAGCAAAAAAAAAAAGAGGGGGGGGGGGCAACGGGTTGGATGATACCTGTACTGCTTACTAACTACTTCCCCTTTTTTGTCATTCTTACGTACAG